TTCCTAGTGAAACAGGCTGTCTGGTGTGGTGCGGAGCTACGAGGAGCTGTGGGCATTCGAGCAGAGGCCAGTGACGATGAGCTGAAGGGCGTGGCGGTGAGGCTGATGGCTTCTGAGACTCTTCCCCTCCAGCTCTTTGGTTCCACCCTGGCCCCGCCATATATGGAAGCCACTGGGAGGGCCACCAGGAGGTTAAAGAGTAGGACGACCAACTGTCTCAGTTTGCCTGGCACTAAAGGGTTTCCAGGGGTGTGGGACACTCCGTGCTAAAGCCAGGAATGTCTTGGGCAAATGGGAACAAGTTGGTCACCCTATGAAAACATGTCTTGTGGGAATCCACCCCTCCCAACCTAGCATGGCTGGGTTGGCAGAAATGCCGTGGGCCCTCCCTGCATCCACTCTGCCTCTCCCCTTTCTGCCCCTAAGCCAGGAATAATGGAGGCTGCCTTGCTGGGACGGGCAAACACTGAGCCCCTGCGCCAGGAATGGTTGCTAATGACAGGCTGGGCCACCTAGAGGCCCCCTCACTTGCCTTCCCTAGGCCTCTCTTTCTCTTTCTGTGAAGTGGGACCATGTGGGATAGGTGGCTGGAGAGGGCACCCCCATGGGGACCTAACAGCCTGACACAGGTGCTCCAGTCCCAACTCTCTTTGCCCTGGCCTGAGGCCACCTTCCCAGCCTCTTTCTTGCTGCACATGCGTGTGTGGGGAGAGGAAAATTGGGAGTTTCCTCCCTCTTTCTTCAGCAGGCAGGCTGGGGAGTGAGAAGCCTACTCATGCCAGTTTCCTGTGTGTTGCCTGCCCCTGCTGTCTGTCTGACCCTAGCCAGGCACCCTCTGTCACTCCCACCCAGCTTGCTGTGCCTGGTGGGGAGAGGGCTGGCAGGAGGAGTGGGCTCAGGCAAGAGCCTCTGCCTGCTCATGGCTCCATGGAGGGCACACACAGAGCTGCGCCTTCAGGCCTCAGTCCTCAGAGGGTGGCTGGATGAGGGTCCCAAAGTTCACCATAGCTGAGCTTCAGTTCTGGTGCTGCCTGTAACTAGCAGAGCCTGGGGTGTGGAGCATATGGCACAGGGGTAGCCTCAGTCCAGGAACCAGGGAGCTGGCGCCCTGTCCTGACACCCCACTGACCTGGGCAGACCAGCGATGAGCCTGGTGTCATACCTGCCAATTGCTGTGGCTTGGGCGGCAGGCCCTGCAGTGCTGGCACCTCGGATGGATGCAGGCGCTGAGTCTTACCATGAAACCTGCTCACAGGGCTAGGTGGTACCCAGCTCTCCAGGGGCTGCGCTCCCAGCCTCGCTCCTCCTCACATGCACCCTGAGCCATCTACAGATTCCCTCATGGCTACCATGCCCGAGTATGCACACTTGCACACACACATGCACACACACCTCCAAACACCCCACCTCTTCAGACACCCCATCTTCACATAGTCCCTGCTTCCACCCCCCACATACACACCTTCATACGCCCCATACACCTTCACACGCTCACACATTCACATGTACCCCCAGCCCCAGAACTACCTGGGAGTGAAGGTGATTGAGTGACAGTGGAGATCGTGTGTTAAGAAGAAAAATTGCCGGAGAGACTTGCTTGGGAGCACCTGCGGGATGGGCAGGGCAGGGGCCAGCTGGGCACCCAAGCCCTCTCTGTACTCGAGGAGTCCGAGAGGATCGCTCGGTCCAGGCCCCAGGCTCTGGTCTCCCTCTGCCCAGCCCTCCAGGGTGCCGGTCATCTGGCAGGGCCTGAAAGGTCATCTGGCCCTGTGACCCTACCACAACTTGGTTCCGGGCAGCGGCTCAGCTCTCACAACTCTACCTTCCCTATGCCGAGTTTTAGGCCTCTCTAAAATGCAGGAGGAAATGAAGTGGGGAGAGTGAAGGTGACTGGCCCAAGGTCGCGTAGAAACTGGGAAGGAAACTAGATCTCCCCAGAGAGGCTGTGAGATGCACGAGAAAGAGCAAAGCCTCCTTCAGGCGCCAGAGCTGTGCCTGCTGGCCCCGCCCAACCACCCTTGGCCTCAGCCACCCTCCCTGGACCTCAATTTCCTTCTTTGTCAACCATGGAGGCTGTCCAGGCCACGCTTCTTGGGCTTTTTCCTGCCCCAAAGTGCCAGAGAGATCTGCAGCCTCACTCCCAGCCGTGACTGGGCCTCACCTGCCTGGCCTCCTGTGTGCACTTGGGTGTGAGGTGGGAGGGGCCCCCGGAAGAGGAGCCTGGATTCTGGGCTACAGCAGCTAACCCTGATGGGCCTGGCGCTGGGCAATGATGACCCCATGAAGGCCTGTACAGCATGGCCTTCCAGGTTGCTGGGGTCTCAGGCTGCCAGCCTCCCGAGCTCTCTCCTCCCACAGAGGGCCTGGGCAGTGGTGGGGGAAACCCTGAGGGTTGTGTGTTTGCGGAGGAGCTGGCAGGAGGAAGGATGCTCATCTGCTTGGGGCGCTGGAACCCTTTACTCAGGGAGGCCAGAGGTTCATCCAGGTGGCCTTAAGATAAGGAGGTTTATTGGGAGGAGAGGTGGAGCCAGGACTCTGGACTCCTCCCCGCAGCCTCTCTGCCTCCTTCCTGCCCCACCTCCAGGGTCTCTGACTCCCCTCTGCTTGTCTGCTGCGTCCTCCGCCCTTCTCTTCTGGCCTCTTGCTCCAGCTCTTCTTTCTGTAGAGATGGGGTCTCACTATGTTGCCCAGGCTGGTCTGGAGCTCCTGTTCTTCAGCCATCTTCCCACTTCAGCCTCCCAAAGTGCTGGGATTACAGGTGTAAGCCTCTGTGCCCGGCCCTCTTGCTCTAGTTTTGTCTACAGCCCTAGCTGACAGTCTACTGACCATGGGGCAGAGCCCTTGATGCCAGTTCACGTGATGGGCCTGGCTGCCCATGGAGCGAAGTCATTTCCCCATCCAGTCAGTGTCATCTGGCAGATGTGGGCAGGACCATCTAGCTAGAAGGGTACATGGCACCTTGAGTGACATGGCAGTACATGGGGATGTTGTACGAGGCTTCCTGGAAGAGGAGAAGTAGGGACTTCATCTTGAAAGAGAAGCAGGATTTTAAAGTGTGGTGAATGTTCTGTTCATAGCTCAGGGAAGGCTAGAAATGTGGACTGAAGAATGGACCACCTAGAGAGAAGTCTCAGAAGGCATGGTGTGAATGGATCAGAGCGACTGAGGGGAGAGGAGGAGGAGGAGAGGAAGGATTTGCGGGTCGTGGGTGCAGAGCTGCAGGAGGTTTGCATTGCAGGAGAACAAGGGCCAGAGTGGCCAGTTGGGCGAGAGCCACTTGGGACTGGGACAAGAGCGGGAGCAGGGCTGGAATGGGGCTGTGTGTCCCAAAGTCAAGGTTGGCGGGGGTTGGGGGTGGCTGGCAGCTGAGAAAGAGTCTAGGGTGACAATTGGGAGGCTGATGGTGACCATGGTGAGAGCAGCTTCTATGGTGTGGTGGGGCATCACCTGACTGCAGGGGTGAGGCTGTACACACAGCAGACATAGCTTTGGATGTTCATGAGTGAGAGAGGGCCCTGCCACCTGAATGCTTTGTGCGCCCAAGGTGAGCAGTGAGAACAGTGAGTGGTGATGCTCATGCCTGCCTCTCCTGGGGAATCCTTTGATCTCAGCATGGCTCAGACAGAGCCAGAGGAAGGGGGATGGGAGTGAGGGTGCAATTCTCCAGACCAGGATATTGGAGGCCACCCTCCTGGGATTTAGACAACCCTGTTTGGTGTTTGGGCTGTCCACTTTCTCTCTGGGTGACCACAGGTTGCTTCCCTCTCTGATCCTATTTCCTTATGTGTAAACTGGGGATAGTGATTCTGCTCTGCTCCTGCCTCCCAGGGTCATGGAGAATGAAATGAAGGGTCATGTTTAGCCAAGTGCCTATTTGTTGATGGGTGGGGCTGGGGAGGGAAAGGAATGATCACGCCTTCATCATGCACTAGCACAGAAGCGAGGGTGTGACCTGGGTGCCCGTCCAGGATGCAGGCCCAGGGATTCTCCTTCAAGAAAGCCCCAGAACAGAGAGGACCCTGCATAGTTGCTGGGAGAAGGTGGGTCTTGAATGAGTCTGTCCCTGAGAGGCAGGGTCTTTGTGGAGTGGCCTGTTGGCTTTGCTAGGCCTGGGCTCTGCAGGTTGACCTGCCCTTGCGCAGCATCTCCCTTTAACTGGGAGCCTTGGCCCGAAGGAGTCCGTGGCTGATGGGAGACATCTGGCATCTGCAGGTGGGCAGGAGAGTGAGGTGAAGTCCTGGGTGAGGCCCTACTGAGAGATCCCAAATAGATCTGAGGATCCAGCAGCCCATTCCTCAGGGGGCTCCTGTTGCCCTGCTTCCAGAAAATGAGGGACAGTGTGGGGGGTCGAAGGATGTTGTTGCAGTTTGGGGTGTTGGGTAAGTCTCAGGGGAAATGGCTGCTGAAAACAGGGGCATGTTTTGAGTCCCAGGCCCTTGCTTTCTGTGGGGTATTTGGGGGGCTTCTGCCTGTCATCTGTGAGGGTCGTCCACTGCCTCCATTCTAATCAGGAGTGGGTGGGGCCTGCACTCAGCAAGAACCAGAGGGAGGAGGAGAGACAGCTTCTCTTGAGGTCTGGGCACTCATTTGGGGGTATATCTCCCTGGGAGCCAGGAAGAGTTGATCCTCCAGAACTTGGTCCCTCGTAGCCTCTCTGTACCCTCAAAGTTGCCCATGCCCCCAGCTTTTCCACCTGCTTCCTGGGCTCCCAGCACCTCCTGCTGGACCTGTGGGCAGAAGCAGGTTGGGATCAGACTTAGAGGCCTTGGCTCACTTGGTGCTGTGCTGAGGGGCTGGGATCCCTGTTTGCCAACCTCCCAAACCCCGCTCCACCAAACCAGTTTATGCAATTGCGGAACTGCAGTAAACTCCTTCCCCTGGCAAACTAAGGTGGTAGGGTGGCGTTGGGGTGACAGTATGTTTCCAGGGGCTGCAGGGTTCTTTCCTCACACTTACCCTGCTGGAGACAGCCTCTGATGATCCCACTGGGGCATGTCACCAGGCTGTGAGGGATGGTCCACCCAAGAGAAGCCTCAACAGTTTCCCCAAATAATTTCTGCAGGCTGGGACACCTGAGTGAAATGAAGAAATGGGATTCAGCAGAGAGAAATGTTAAGTCTGCCAGCTGGGTATGAAGGGCTGATGGCTCAACTTGAGGGAAGTTTGTGCAAAATCTACCTGGGAACATTTGTTGATTCACATGAGCTAACAGTGTACGCAGCATCTGCAGAGGCCCTGTGCAGGCTTGTGTGGCAGTCACTGCTGACATCACTATTGACCTGGCTGTGCTCAGGCCTCAGTCCGAGTGGGGGACCCGACCTTGGATAAATGTTGGTGAATTTCCCTGTGTCTTCTGGAGAGGAGTGGGAGGTGCCTGGGCCGCAGAGCCAGGCCAGACCAGGGCAGGCCTTGGAAGGAACGTGATGGAGTTCTCAAGGATCGGAAGGTCTGTCTAGGGGAAGAATTCCACTTGCTCCAGGTGATTCTTTGAAGGCAGAGCTAGCTCCAGAGAGTGGGGAGGGCCAAGAAGTGACTTTCAGCTGAAATGAGGAGAAGTTTCTGGGTTACCAATCTTACCCGTAGCTGCTGGAGACACAGGGATGGGAGGGAGTGTCCCAGTACCAGTAACAGTGTGAGCAAGGGATGGTGCTTTGTCACGTGTCTTGCACAGGCAAGGTAACCAAAGGACGTTGAGTCCAAAGGATTCCCAAGAAATGGATGGATGAGCCCTGTTCCTGGGGCCTGGGGGCTGACAGTATTGTCTGGGAGACTTGACTCAGAAAAAACACACAGAGGAAACGGCAATCTGTGGCAGATCAGTTCCGCTTTCCTGGAAAAAGTTGGTCTCAGTTAAAGCTGCCCTGCAGTGAGCAGCAGCCTGCCCTTGCCGGAATGCATCTGAGACCAGATAACCTTGGGCTGGAAAAGGGATTCCAGTTTCAGGCATGAGGAGGGGGTTGGATGTGAAGAGACGACCTCTGTGGTTCCTTTGAGTCCAGAGTTCCTTGGCAGAGAAAAACACCCGCAGAACTCTGATCGGCACACAAGGTTACGGAGGACGGAGCAGAGATCCGAATATAGCTGGCGGGAGGAAGGCGGCAGCGGGCGAGGGGAAAGTAGGTCCTTGGAACAAATGAGGTGGGGCATGAAATTAACGAGGCTGGAAAAGGGCTGAGCTCAGGGACTCATTTTTAAAGACTGTCTTTTAGCAAGAAAAATGAGGAAAAGAAATTTGGGCAATGGAGATTGTAAATGTAGCTATTGACAGGTGGCCAACTGGCTGGAGAGAGGGGCCTCTTGGAGAACATGGAAGAAGTGTAGATCAGTGGGTCTGGGGTGACCCCTGCATGCCATGTAGAGTGAACAGGAGTTGGCTGATGGCATGCTGGTGACATCAGCTGCCCACATCTTGAAGGCTACTGTGCTCCGGTCCTTTAGCTGGGCCATTCTATCCCCCCACTGTCATGCACTGAGCTGTGACCTGCTTATCCTACCCCCTGACCTTGACACATACTCATCCCTCACTGGGCATGCCACTTTTCTTCTTTTTGCCTTTCTGGGTTTTACCCCAAGCACTCAGCCAAGTCCCCACCTCTCCAGGAAGCCTTCTCTCAGGGGCTCATAGCCCATACCCAGTTCCGTCTGAGCATCTGGGGCCATTCCGCCTGCTTGGCACTTGGATGAACACATTCTTAGGAGCTCAAACAGCCTGTCTGTGCAATGGGTGAGGGCCTGACCACCAGGCCCGGTCCGCAGAGTAGATGGAGGACATAGGATGGACAGCTATTTGCCCCCACAGTGCTGGCCCTCTGGAAATTTAGAGTCCCTAGGAGCCCCTGCCATGTCCTGCTTCTCACCTGTGATGTAGGGGTGGAGACAGAGGGGCTTGAAAGGGCCCCTAGTGACTTTCCCTTCCCTTGGGGGTAACCCAGGCAGCCTGCTTCCTCCTCCCAGCCCTGTCAGCTGGCCAGGCTTATCCTGTGGCCCTGTCCAGGTGACAAGGCCCTGGAAGAGGGCCAGCCAGCTGGACTCCTCAGGAGCTGTCAGCAGAGCCCCAGCACGAGGTGGGTAGGAGGGAGCACAGAGGCAGCAGAGACCCTTCTCTAGGGAGGACGAGCGGGGACACTGGGGGCCTGAAACCGGAGCCACTTCACACCTTGCCTATTAATTGCCAGATTGATTTTGAATTCTAGTCTCCAGGAGGACCCAAAAATCAATCCCCTCCACTCCATGCTTCTCTGGGCTCAGGAGTTATTCTTAAAGCAGCAGCTATCCTGGCTGCTGTGGCTGAACCCTCCCATCCAAGAGTAGGCTGTGGATTCCAAAGTGTGTTCAGGGCTGGTGGCTTTTTTCTAGATCCACTGATCTCTGTGTAGAAAGACACTTACCCTAAAGGAGAGCCATGCGGTGTGATTGGAGGGGCGTTAAGAAGGCTCTCATCCTCAAAGCTCCCTCCTACCAATATGCCCAATATCATAATTCCATCATTAGGAAGTCATTCCTTTGCATACATTTAGGTCAACAGTCCCAGCTTCCAAAATATGGACCCCCAGGAGAAGGAACACAGATTAGGGCTGTACCATTTCCGTTCCTTGTGAGTGGAGGCACTGGAGGCCTAGAGGCATCAGGAGAGCTCTGTGTGAGGGGTGGGGAGCAGGAGGCAGATGTCATGGCGTGGGGGAAGGGAAGCAGAAGTTGAAGACCACCCCAAGAGGAGGCTGTGGCAGGGTGGTGAGCAAAGGAGCAGTAGGTGCCCCCAAGGCACTTCCCACTTGGGCACTGCTTTGGGGCTGGGGGAGACTGGCCCTGTGGCAGGTGAGGGAAGATGAAGGAACTCCCATCGCTGGGTACCCTCTGTGTCCCCAGCCCTGATCCAAGCACAGTGGCAGTCTGCAAGTCACCTGTGGAAAGGGCTCCCACAGCCTCATTTCTTAGATGAGACACTGAGGTACATGAGGCTGGGTGACCTGCCCAAGGTCACACAGCCGCTCCTGCAGCATGGGGGCTGGAGCTCAGCTCCGCCACCTCCTCACGCCTCCTCTGCAGAAGTGGCCAGGAGCTGAGGAGGCTTCTAAGAAGCTGGGAGAGCCAGATGGAGAGGGAAACAATGGAAGGGGTGCCTGAGGTTAAGCCTGCCATGATTTCAAGAAGCTGAGGCAGGAAGTTCTATGACCTGCTGATGTTAGAAGCTGGGGACAGCCCCCGGGCTTCCGTTGTCAGCCTCTCTGACGTCCTGCCCCAGTCCAGAGCTCCTCCGTGTGGGAGAGCCTGGTGGACAGGTCTCCTGGGGCCTCAGCCCATTGGCTACTGCCTGCTGCTCCATCACGGCTGTGGAGATGTGGGCTCTAGGCAGGGTCACTGCAAGTCAGCCTGTGTACTTGGGGACACAGAGACATCATTGCTCATCCCCTGCCCACGTGGACCCAATTACTGATGCAGCACTGTGTGTTCCCACGGCCACCAACAAGGGCCTCTTTCCTGGAAGCATCACAGATGGACAGAGAGGTCCTGGGCTTCCCTCCACCCACCCCCATGCCAATTACAGCTAATTTCAGGTGTGTGTAATTATGCTTTGCCAGCCTGGAAGGTGGAGTGTGTGTGTGTGTGTGTGTGTGTGTGTGTGTGAGTGTTGGGGAGGGAATGAGGCAGCAACTGCAAGACATTTGGTGCAGTTACAGAGAACAAGTCTCATCTTTGCTCAGCCTGTGAGCCCCTTGAAGAAGGAGCCATGTCTGTTTTGCCAAGAACTGACCCCCAAGGGCCTGGCATTGATGTGGGTACTCAGTGCGTGTTTGTTGAGTGACTGAATGGCTAAGTGAATTAGGAATCTCTTGGTGGCCATCTCAGTCCTTGCCCAGCCACAGCTGTGCTGTGTGACTTTTGGTGAGATGCCAGATGTTTCTGTGTGCAGATGCCTAGAAATGTGCCAATTGGGAAGAATGGCTAATGACAGGCACGTGTTGAGGGGATAGTGTGGGCAGGAGGGCACTGCTGTTTGTGGAAGCTGCCTGCAGTGAAAATTGCTAGGGACACTGGGGCATCTCTCTTTTTCCCAGGGCAAGGCTGACGTGGGTTGGAGCATAGTATCATCCTGATAGAGAGGAGGGGACTGTCCTAGGCTTGGTTGGAGTGGGGACATGTGGACTGGCATTGGAACTGAAGGGTGACAGGGAGGGCTGGGTTGGGGCTTAGCCAGGGGTTGAGGTCAGGGGCTGGCTCAGGCAATGGCTGGGGGCTCACATGGATCCCAAATGAAGAAGTTGGTCAGGGCTGGGCAGAGCTGGGGGTGGCTTCAGGACTTCAACCCAGGGCTAGACCAGAGGTCTCTCTAGATCAGGGCTAGGGTCAGTCTGGGGCCATGCAGATTCTGTCCAATAGGAGCACTGGGAATGACTCTGCTGTCCTGGCCTCATTTACTCTAAGCACATCAGCTGAATGGATGGATACCCAAGGCTTTCTGAGGGTGATGGCCTTGAAGAAATCCTCCTGTCCCCAAGGTGTCCTTGGGGAAGCTCAGGGCTGCCCAGGGACCCAGGGGCCATTTCACCCTGTCTGTGTGTTGTTGGGGGAAGAACAGAATTACCTGGCTAGCACTGACTGGCAGCTGGAGGATGGTGTCATCAGCATTTCTCACACTTTCACGGCATTCTATAGTTTATAACCCCTTTCCCATCCCGTGTCTTCTCATCTTCTCCACAGCCCTGAGAAGCAGGCATGACAAGGGAGGATACCTGTGTCACAGATGAGGAAAACAGAGGCCTGGGGAAGAAGCTTGCCTGATGCCACTCAGAAGGTAGACGCAAAGCCGGGAAAGGCGCTGGGTCCCTAGACTGCCCCTCTGGAACTCCACCATGCAGCCGCCTGGCTGTCCTGCCTGGGATGCCATCTCCAGGCTAGCCTGGCACTCATGCCCATGCCCTGCTGAGCACTGGCACCCCGCAGAGCTTAATGCCCTGCTGAGCCTGCCCTGCAGCCCTTGCCAAGTCTGTTGGAGTGGCTTCAGTCATTGGCAAGTCACATTGCTGACATCACAACTGCATAAAATTAATTTATTTAGTTAAGGGAGGTGTTAATTAAAAGTTCTCATTTATTGTGTCTTTGCAGACAGCTCTCGGGGGCTTCTGAGTTGTCATTGCTGGTGACAGCAAAAGCTAATCACTATTCTAAAAGTTATTAATAGAATGGTGTGAGGGGGGAGGGGCAGGAGCTGGGGCTGTGGGGGATGGGAGAAGGGAAAGCTAGGGGAGGGGAGAGGATGGTCCCCTACTTCCTTCTTACCAAGTCAGCTCCCCTCTGCAAGTTGATCCAATCGCCAGCATTTCTGGGGGATCTGGGGTTTGCTGCCAGGCCCTGTGATGATCAGGGTTTTGTGAGCCCTGGAGGAAGGCTCCCCAGGCTAGCACCCGCCCACTCCGGCTGCTGCCCATATTCTCACAGTTCCTGGTGTTTGCCTTGAGGAGTGTCGGCTCTCACACAAGGAGCTCGTTCTTTGCTTGCTTGATCTCCCCACTTACCATGAACCTGAGTGTCTTGGGGTACAGATAGTGACTGGTTTAGCCCTTTATCCCCAAAGCTTAGCACAGAGCTTGGACCTTCATGGGAAGACAGCAGATATTTGCAGAGGGAATGAGGGGTCCTCTGCCCCCCAGCTGGTCTATAGGCCTGGTCTCCTTGTTAAGAGACCTTGGGGTCACAGGTGGGGATGGTAGGAGGGAGAGGGCAGGGGGATCCAGGACTCCCCAAATCCCCCACCTCTTTCGGTTCCCTCAGCCTTGTAGCCCTGGAGATCCACAACCTGGGGAGTGGATAGGTCTTTGCTGATGAAGGTGGGGTGTGTGCAGGTGTGAGCAGCCAGGGTATGGTAGTGAATGGGGAGTCTTCAGTCAGTTCTGCACAAGGACCCACCATGGGGAAAAGGGAAGATGAGATTTTAAACTATATTAGCTAAACAACGATGGCTGCAAATCAGCCACTTCGTGCAGTGGAACAAACACAGACAAGGTGCTCAGACCTGCAGGTCTGTCCCTGACAGTCTCTGTGACCTTGGGAAGGTAACTGCTCTCTGGGCCTCGGCTTCCCATCTGTGAAATGGAGGACTGGGCTGAAATTTACAGAAGTCCCTCTAATGCCCAACGTGCTCCACACCTCCCATGCCCTACACAGCTCACCTTCCAGTAGATGTGCCAGGCCTTTTGTGGTTATCATCTCCAATGCCTACAGCTTCCCTGCGGGGGAGATAGTCAATCATCCCCTGTTACAGTTGGGCAAACTGAGGTTCAGATGGGAAAATAGATGGGAAAACATAGTCAGTGGAATTTAAAGCCAGGTTCGTGCTCTTTCCAGAATATCGGCTTATCTCCCTGACCACCTGGGATGGGGCCGATACAGGGAGACCCTACATTAGATGTGGGCTCACTGACCAGGGCAGGCAGAACTGAGAGAAAGGAGGAGAACAGAGCACCCACTGGACTCAATGGGTCCAACTGCCGAGCTCCTGGAGCATGGGGAGGTGGGACAGGTTCTGAGACCATGATGGGACCCAACACACCCTGCACTGCAAGTTCCAGCAGCTGCCTGCACGAACCACCTCCTGCCTGCACTTCCTCCTCTCATCTCAGAGACACCGTCATTCATTCAAGACACTTTGATTAGGGAGCTGGCCTGACGGCTGGGAGATGAATGACTGTCCCCTACCCTCAAGGGGCTCACCATTGAGTGGGAGAAGTGGCTCCATGAACAGTGAGCCCCCCGATGGGTCACAGGGACTGAGATAGCACATGCGCCTGCCCAAGGAGCGAGGGAGCAGGGGCAAGTTCAGGTCACCTGGGGCTCCCTGGCAGGAATGATTGCCTGTTCCTGAGAGAGAGTGGTCAGAAATGAATTCCTAGAGGAAGTAGCCATCGAGCTGAGTCTTGAAAAGCAGGGAAGGCAGTATTGAGAAGTTCTTGCATAGGTTCAGATTTTAATCTAGATTCAGGGACCCAGTTCACCAGATGGAGGGGATGCGTTGTGGGTTGTGAGGTGGGCCTTAAGGTAGGGGGAGTGGCATGAGCAGAGTGTTGCAAGTGTGGGAAGAGGGGTATCTAGAGGTGAGACGGGCAAGGGCTAGAGCATGCAGGGCATTGCACACCAACCTAAAGAATCTGAGCTTCATCTGGGGAGCCATTCGGGGGATTTGAGCGGGAAAATGGTGTCCGGATCCTGATAGTGTCACTTGCCACTCTCCAGCTCTGGATCCTAAGGATGCTGCTGAGAGTGGATAAGAGGGATATTTAGTTTGGGTTCCCCCAGAAGCCAATCCTGAGATGCATGTTTAAGTGTGGGAAACACTGCGGGACAGGAAGGCAGCAGGGGCACTGCTGAGCCAGCTCCAATGGTGGGTGAGTGAAGCCCAGTCCTGCTGGGGAACCTGAGAGCTGGCATAGCACATGCGCCTGCCCAAGGAACAAGGGAGCAGGGGAATTTATGTAGCAAGTCTCACCAGCCATTGCTTGAAGGCTGCCCCAGGAGGCATCCCTGACATTTCTGGCCTTCTCTTCAGCAAAGTCCTCAGGCAAAGAAGTAATGATGAGTAAAGTCAAAAATAAGCTAAAGAAAGAGTGCCTGGGGAACTTTGGACATGGGGAGGAATGCCTAAGGTTTTTGCTTAGGGACATCAGTGGAGGATGCTTTCAGCTGGCTCCTGGGGATGGAGGAAAGGCAGAGGAGGATGGGAGTGGCAGTTATTAAAGCAGAAAATGAGGTGGTTACCTGAGAAGCATTATGACCAGTTTTGGGCAGTTTGTCTCATTTCCTATGTATGCAGGAACATTCCAGGATGTGGCTTAAGGGCTCCTGTCCACACCCAGTTGGTGAAGTCCAGGGGAGCTGGTTCTGGCCAGGTTGGCAAAACCAGTGGTCTCTCAGAGGTCATGTGGCTTTCTTCTCTTCCTGACCATAGACTGACCTGCCCCCTAGCCCTTCATCTCAGCCAGACTGAATGCAACCCCAACCCCATCTCAAGACTGACCCCAATGGGGTCATTCAGTCTGGCTGAGATGAAGGGCTAGGGCGCAGGTCAGTCTATGGTCAGGAAGAGAAGGAAAAAACAGAGGGGACCTCTGCTTATACAAGCAGCTCTGGACTCAGAATCCCCCAATCCAGGGAAACATTTTCACTTTACCACCCAGAGAGTGAAAGTCATGGCCTTAGTAGAGCAGAGACAGGAAAAGATGCATACCAGCTTGGGATATCTGGGTGGGATGCATCCTTCACAAGAAAACAATAATCTCTCATAATGATAGTGAGTGGAGACCACCAGAATGATGCATTGTCACCCTCTCCTTAGACTCATAAAAAGTACCAAAATGGGCAAGTCTTCACATCCTTCCTGAACCTCACTTAGAGTACAATAGCTTTGTGGGGTTAGTTCTAATTTGGGGGGCATTTCTCTTTAACTTCTTGATTGGAGAGACTAAGATATATAATGAAGATTCTTGGTGCTGTTTAGAATCCCTCTGCTACCTGAAAGAGGCCTGCTCTGGGGACCTCAGGGCTCAGACATGATGGATTCAGGGCCAGGGAAGGCAGTATTGAGAAGTTCTTGCATAGGTTCAGATTTTAATCTAGATTCAGGGATCCAGTCAAACTGTTTCCCCAAAATCTTATTTTAGTTTCCAAACCTAAAACCTCTAAAAAAATTGGTTCTGCTTGTAGTTTAAGTAAAAACTTTCAGATTTATGGCTTTTCTAGTTTTCCTTTAGTGGTCCATATCCATTTAACCTGAACCCAGAATATGCTTTGTGAACTGAGATCATGAGAGGAAGCTAGTTCAGAAGATGAAGGTCATAGCATCCAGAGGTTTGGAGGAGAGTGACCTGGGAGGGGATACAGGGATGTAGTGGGGGAGGTAAAGAGGGATACTGGTAAATCAAAGAGTGAGAGTGAACGGTAAGTAATCCATTGGGCTAGGAGAGAGGGAGGGGTGGGAGTTGAAAAGAGAAAGAGAAAAGATGGAGGAGAGAATAAAATAAAGGGGAAGAAGAGAGATGAAAGTGCAGTAAAATGTGATAACAAGACATTAGAGAAAAGAGAGAGGTGGAAGCAGAAGAGAGGAAGAGGAGGCAAGTGAGGCAGGGGAGGTGAGGTGGAAAGAAAGTGGGAGGCGGGTAGGGGTTGGGGCATGGAGGTCCCAAGATCTGGGCTCTTTTCTTTCACCACACATCTGTACAGCAGATAAATATAGTGCAGCTGGGCTTTTCTCTCTTCTTAATTGACGTCTTTGAATCTATCACCACTTGACAAATCGGGCCACTTATTATTAGTGATGACAAGGATAAATATGACAGGCATTCATTTTGCATCTGGGCCCCCTGATAATAGAAGTCAACACACCAGTCCCTCTCCCCACTTCTTCCCGGTGGCTTGGGCTCGGGCTCCCTAGTGGGGAAAACTAAAGGCTAGGAGCTGTCCATGGCTTTGCCAGGTGCTTAAGTCATCTACAAACGCCCTCGTGGTGGGAAGCCAATGGTCAGGAACTGTCCACGATCCGAGTGGTGCTGAAAGCCTTCATACCCTGCCTCCTCTCTGATTCCAACAAGAAAGCTGAGTGACTGAAAGCTGTCCACAGCCTATGTGGTGTTGAAAGTATCTACTGTCCCTAGGGCTGGGGGTGGCAGGGTGCATCTCTTTCCCACAGGACACAATTACTTCTGGCATGGAGTGGTCGGTGGCTTAAATTTACCTGTCTTGCTGTGGTTCTAAAAAGCCTGGATGACTTTAAGTGTGTTCCTTCCTCTCTCTGGGTCTTAGGATTTCCATCTTTAACATGAAGGGCTGGATTAGGTTGTTCTTTCGGGGCCCTCAAGTGCTAGCCCTTTCTATTATCAAAAGCCTTCAAGAGGTTCCTTCTACTTCTAGGATTGAGCTACAAATCCCTTAGCCAGGCCCTGAAGGCCCCTCTCTGGGCCCTCTCCACTTCCTGGCTTTGCCCTCATTCCAGCCAGATGAGCCTTCTCTCAGGCCCCAGACACACTCTTGTTTTTTTCCCCTGAGCCTTTGCCATCCCCACTGCCCTCCTTCC